GTATGACGTTGGCTATTCTTCCATGTTCGTGCCAATCTTTTGAGCGCTTGACCCATTTATGTTACTTTTCCGACGGTCATTTCCGTCACGGTCACTTTTTGAAGTCATGACTTCCAGACACATTTTAAGACTTACTGTAATGACTTGAAACACCTCTGACCTATTACCATTTCTTGTTGAGTGTGATTTGATCATGTGGGGTCACCCTACCCTCCGGTCATGTGACCCAGATCACCAACCCAGCCTACCATCGGTCAGGAACATGTCTTCCCCCGCCCGAACGGGTCAAAACGATGTTCGCACCCCAAAACACGGTGGTTTGGACTCTGAGGCTTCCGTCAGGGACCTTTGGACACGCCGGTCCACCCTGCCAAACCGGTGTGTCACCACCGAAGAACCGGGAAGTGAGACGGATGGACTGACCGACTCAGACCGGACCACGAGCGACAGGTCTCCTGGGGCATGCTACGGACCTGGAAAATCAATTCTGTGGAACCAGTTGCGTCCGCTGGGCTGCAAGAGCAAGTGAAGAGTACACACATATATAATAAATTTATGTACACGTACGAATGCTATACAGATTTGATGTGTGGTATGTACATATATATATTTACAGTATATATATATATATATTTCAGTCTATTTAATGTATTGATGTAAATGTTTTGTACGTTATGCATAGCATTATATACGCAGTATTTGGCCCTGTCTAGATGTGGGTAAGTTTACGACAAGGCCGCTGCGACTTTTGATAGGCCCGATATTTCTAACACTCTTGGAGTAGGTTTGGAATTCTTCAGAGTCATCCTGAAGCGAAGTAGATAGAATATGATAGGATTTCAGGCTATGGAACCCTTCAGGTACTGCTTTCCCCGGCAAGTTCTTAGACATGTTTTCTCAGAAGTCGTTTTCGCGTCCAAGAGGCTGACGTTCGGTTCGAGCAAACGCCTGTGGGAGACCTAACTCGAAAGAGACCACCAGGTGATCGATCTTCAAACGCAGAGAGTTCTGAACAAGCTCACTGCCAGTGAAGAGGGGCTACTAATTACTGAGATTCCTTACGCGCAGCAAGAAGATGCAAAAGTGCCGCAATTTACGTCTTCTGGGCAGAAGGGACCTTGTTTGAGAGAAGATTTACGAGTGTCTCCGGTATCCCTCTCAACCATCGAGAAAAGGGAACCTCTGAAGTCTGTTTCGTGTTGCTTCAGGAGATTGAGATTGAGATAGGTTGTGTATTCCCAATGGTTGAAACTGCGCCAATCATTGGCTATGGAACCATGGCCGTCTCATGCCTGCCTTAGACGCTCTCGCGCGACCACTCCTCCCAGTTTCAGAGAGCGTAAACAACAAGGGGGGGCACACACCTCAGACCCACCTCCACTTACGCTTTTTTGTTTCATTTTGTTCTTCCTTTTGTACCCCTTCGATTCTATATAGACTGCATGGGCTTTGGAGAAAGGAGTCTTTGAGACATACCCTTGGTTTGGTTTCGACATACAGGATTGATGGAACACCGCGCCACACGAGTTCCATGGGTCTTGGAATTCTCATTACGAGTTCCGTTGCACGCTGCGCATGCACCGCGCGCGGCGCGCACGCCGCGCAGCGCGCGGGCGCCCGGCCGCAGTTCTGGCATCTCTTCGTGCTGCTCGCAGCAGTCGCTGGGCTCAGTCTGGGCGTCTCGCTCCATCCAGTCTGGGCGGTGTTCAACAGGATCTGGATGTACCAGTCCCAGACACGACCTGTCTGGGACTGCCATGCCGCCCCATTGACCCTCCTCTTCAACCACGGCCGGATCGGCAGTCCTATGGCAGTCCCAGACAGGTCGTCCACATCTGCTGGCATTTTGTACAAGTGCCTAGAGGTGTACACTTGCTAGTTCCCTCTGAAGGAGCATTCTCTTGCTGTCGCACCTTCCATCCCGGCGGAGTTGGTCCTTGGGGTTTTTGATCCACAGCTTTTCTCTTTCTGGCATGGATTGGCCAGGATTCTTCCAGACATGCCACTTGGTCGTAGAAGCACCGGTTGCCCGGTTGGTTTCATGATGTGTTCATGAGGCGGATTCCTTTCCACCGAGCCCACTTCTCCCAGTGGTTTTGGATGGCTTTGGTCCAGGGTTTTTTGCCTGGCGCAAGCTCCTCGACGAGGCCAGCTGGCTCCGTGGCTGCGCAGCCATGATCACAGAGATCTCGAGCTGCGAGCTACAGGCCGTGAGAGAGGAAGGGGTTTCGGAGCAAAGGAACCAAGGAATAAACAAAGACAAGATGGAACCACATGACAAAATGAAAGACATTTATTGGATCTGTTTGCGTCACGGTGGCATGGGTGCTTGGCTAGACTAGACATTGGCCAGTCTTTCATTCTCTTCGCTTTTACCTTCAGTTGCCGTCAGCTGTGCTGGCACAGCTGACAAGAACGTTGGTCTGGGGCGGGCCTGGTAGGCCTGGCAAAGGAGACGATGGGTGATTGTTTCATTGATGCTCTTTGAACAACCGGGACTGTCTTGCTATGAAGATCAATCTAAAGCGCCAGTTCTGGAAATGGGGCGCCCATGTCTGCACGCGGCATTCACCAGTGGTGACAGCTTCAAGAGTTATTGAGGCATTCTTTGACTCTTAGTGAGATTCGTTTTCTTTGGCGGCTCCGGGATGAATTCTCGGTTAGAAAACCCGGAGCTGTTGTTGGAGAAAGGCATGCACTGCAAGCAGACTATGTGCTCGATAACTTTATATATATATATAAGTATATAATATATAAGCATACATGAAAGTATATATATAAGTATATATATATATATGTTCCCTTTTGTGCTCACACAACATTGCGAGTGTACCCAAACCAATTCCAAGAAGATGTCGAGGGCAAAGCAAACATGGCAAGAACCAAAGGTAGATCAGCAAAACAAACAACAAAGACCTCTAGATAAAGCAAGTGTAAACACAAGTAAAACAACTATTGCCCATCTTCCAAACCAAACATAAAGAGTGAAAGTTAGCATCAACATTGACCCAGAACCCCCCCGAAGAAGAAACATCAACACCAACATGTTCAATCCAATCATAAGGCAAAAGAGCGGACACCGCAGTTGATGCTCGACGCACACTAGCTAGATTTACTCATGTTTTAACCACGGCCCTATAGATTGCCACTTCAACGTCCCCAGTCAACTAGGTTGAAGCTCTCCGATAATTCAGCCATGATCATCCTCATGATTAATGACTTCATATAGCAATGCATAGGTCGCCACCAGTGATTGCCACATTAAGCTGTGTGTTGAGAAGGTGGGGCGAGCGGGCTAGAAATTGGTATGAGGCAGACAAAATGGCTGAACCGTATCTGTTGCAGCGCCTGCTTGGCCTATGGTGTGGGTCTCATTCTTCTGGATCAGCATCAGGCTCATCTTCATCATCACCCATCGTCGTCGTCCTCCTTGGCTCTTCGCCCTCACGATGCCCTAAAACGATGCCCTCGATGCCAAGTTGGACATCTGGGAATGCCGACTGGGCCTAAGGTGCCGACGAGGTCTGGGACTCCCTGGGCCGACGAGGTCTGGTCTGGGATTCCGCTTCGATCAGTAGCGCCGGCCAGTGCGGCCGGTGCCGGTGGCCTGATGAATCTGATGTTCGCGAAGGAACGCGTGCATTATAGCAAAATGATGCAACGTGTTGGATGCATGGCACGGGCATAGGCTGTGCTCCAAACAGCTTCCGCTCAAAAACCATGGTTGGGGTTGGCCTGGCACTCAAGTTGGATGGTCAACTTTGCCACAGTTCTTTACAAAAGGTGACCCTTGAATTTGAGCCACCCTTTGTCAAAAAACCGAAAACCCACGTTTTTGGGGCCAGGATGGACCCATCCCTCGTACGGACGCACCACCTGGATCCTTGATGATCCCATGACAGGCACGGGCTCCAGAGCGCGTTGAGATCCTGGTGACCTGAGAAAAGACCCGCGCAAAAACCCGCGCGTGACGAGCGCAGTTGGTACTGGCGGGTTTTGGGCGGATTGGTCGCAAGACCCTTTTCGCCCATGTAGAGACAGGATGGACCCCAGACATGGTCAAAGTATGCTTTTGTCTCCGTATTCTTGAGGTGTGATCTTTTTTCCAACTTTTGATGCACCATGAAATGTAATTATTAAGTCCGGAGCAGTACTTGAACAAAACATGAGCCTGTCATTTTGGAGGGATGTGAAAGTTGACCACAGTCTGTGGGATGTGAAAGGCAAACCTTCTGGTTTTGTCCTCCTGTTCTCCTCCTATGTCGCCTGGAGTGTCGTCCCTCTGTGCCCGCACCTGTCCATGCTTTCTATTGGTCTTTTTGTTGGCGGGGGCCGAGCGCTGACATGGCATGAGCGTATTTGCTTGGCCATCGGCAACAGCCATTCTTGCTGATGAAACCGTTCAGGGTATATGGGTAGAATGTGCGTCCATCTTCCTGGTCCTTTCACCTACCTACCTCTCTGCAACTTTTCACTGATTCGCCTACCTTCATCTCACCTTGTGGATTTCACCTATCCCAGCTAACACACATCTGACACGAACAGGAGTGCCTGTTCGGAGGATTCCTGGGAAACCAGCTGTGACACTGATCTGGGTCCTGTGCCTGAACCCTCGGAGAAGAGCCATTACCCACCCGCCGTACGACCCGAAAAGAGCCCAATGGGATGGCCAATTGGTGGACCAATTGGCGGGGTTCGGACTTCCAGCAACCGCGTTGGTTTGAGGGGCCGTTGGAGCAAATTCGGAGCGGACCCGCGAGTTTTACATCTCAGCTTGAAGACACAAAGTAAGTCCAGCCGTAGCTGCACCAGCCGCAAAGCGTGTGAGTATGTTGTTTCCACCTTACTCAAATGGACACCCCATGGTTCGGACAGGTTTGGCCAGACCGCATATTGTTGAGCCAAATCCTTGCAGTCACCCGAGTTTTGGCAGTGCAACGTCCTGAAGACCAAGCCGCTTGTTTACGCTGACAACCCACCCGTACCATGGTTCCTTCGTTTCGGGGCTTCGTTTCGGGTTCAACGATCCCCTTCCAGATCTCGAGACGTCGACGCCATCCGGTGGCCATCCGGTGGCCATGAGCTTTGAGCTGGCTGCCTTTCCACTGTTGGGCATCGAGCCACTCGGAGAACGGGTTTGGAAAACTCGGAGAACGGTGGGGAGAAAGAACGGAGAGTGAGGACATGGGGTGGATACGACACTTAAAGGTTCAGATCCAACCAAGCCTCCTCCTTTGCTCGTCACTGCTAGTCGTAAATCCGGGACAGATTAACCATATACTGTAAACTGTATATGTATATATATATACCCTGGAAGTCAAAGACCATTTTTATAATGGTTGATCTGGTTTTGTAGTGTAAAATCCTTAGTAAAACAATCGTGGTTCGGGATTCAGGTATTCAAACAAGGGTGAATCGACTTCTAGGGTGTATATATATATATATATGTTGAATCATGTTGAGACGATGGTCATGCAACTCTCGGTTGTAGTGGGACAGTTCGAGGTTGACCGCCCTGGTTCGGAGATGGAGATAGATCCTGCAAGAGATAGGGAAGATAGGGAGACAATTGGTTTCATACAATCTCCAGAGGGGAGAGTCTCTGTCGTTCCTGGGTCATAGGCTGGATATGTCGTGGTCACCCACCATGGATGGAAAGTCCTCCCACAAAGTCCCTGCTTCATGCCCATGGCATGGCGCGCAGGCGTGGACTGTGCTTTCTCCCTAGGTCGGTCTCCCGCCCACCACGCCATGTGACGAGAGGCGCTTCTTGTATGGCTACATTTACCATTTCCCAGAGTCTGGCACTCAGACAGCCAGCGGGCTCATGACATGGCCCACCTTTTTTGCATGTCAACATGGGCATCCCGGATTGTGACGAAAGGTCTTCCAAGCAGCTGACGATGAGAGGCGATGGACATGGAGAGACATGCAAGACCCCTATTGAAAGGCTTGGTTTGGTTGTGTTTGGTTAGATCATGTTTATCCTTTTGTCAATCATTCCTAAGGTCCTTCCAAAAGTGTTGCCGTGGGCCCTTGAAAGCTTTGCTCGATTATGATGAAGGCGTCTACTGGCAGGCTGGCCCGTGTTCATCCTTTGCTGTGGTGTGAGTTTCAGAGGAGGCAGGAGGTAGACAGTGGTCAACATGAGGCCAAAGCAAGATCTGACTGACCAGTCGAGAGCCCAAAGTCATCAGCCATCAGACCTGCAGAACCAACTCTCTCTCTCTCTCTGTGCGTCTGTCTGTCTGTCTGTCTGTCTGTCTGTCTGTCTGTCTGTCTGTCTGTCTGTCTGTTTGCCTGCCTGGCTGTCTGTCTGTCTGTCTGTCTGTCTGTCTGTCTGTCTGGTCTGTCGGGTCTGTCGGGTCTGTCGGGTCTGTCGGGTCTGTCCCGTCTGTCCCATCTGTCCCGTCTGTCCCGTCTGTCCTGTCTGTCTGTCTGTCTGTCTGGTCTGTCTGTCTGGTCTGTCTGTCTGGTCCTGTCCGGTCCTGTCCTGTCCTGTCCGGTCCTG